AATACTCTTCTCCAGCACCACAGCTCAAAGGCATCAACTCTCCTTCCATCCTCCTTGGTCATTGTCCAACTCTCCGATGCATCTTACTTTGGGAAAAATATTAATTTCTTTTATAGCACTAAAGCTAATATAAGAAAACTATCCGTTATTTTACCTAAAAGCAAACAGATGCTTATTGCCCTATTTTTAATTTTTCTGTATAATTAAAAAATTGAAAAAAGTAGTGTCATAAATAGAAATGTAACCCACAAAACATCTATATTTAAAGATATAATCTGCTAATTAGATAATGATATCTCATGATCTAATAGATCAAATAGTAATGACATGATTAAGGGTGAAATACAGCAACCTTTAATCTGACCACAGCCATACAATCTTTGGGAGGAAAAAAAAAATCACAGACAATTAAAAAAAAAAAGATTTCTCTAACATTTATCCTCAGAGCCAACGCTATTATTAGCTACAAGTATTTGATATTCAATATGCCAACTGGTAATTCAGTCTGTAAGCCAAGGTTGTAATGCTATGATATTACAGGAGAACACTGCATTATAAATTAAACTTGTTTGGGGGAAGAAGTATGTATGTAGAAATATAAACTTGAGATCGGCTCAATGCCACCAGTCTGGGTAATGCATAGTTATAGGTATTTAATTTTCTTCTAATTATACTTCATGTATTATTTATTAAAAGTATCCAAGAGATCTTGCCTATTTCTGGTAGTTCTGGTAGCACAGAAGTTAGGTGTTTAGTTGCTAACTGAAGGGTTAGAGGTTTGAAATTACTAGAATGTCAGTGTGAGAAAGATGTGGTAACCTGCTTCTGCAAAGATTAACAGCCTTGGAAAGGCTCTACGGTAGTTCTATTTTGTCCTGTAGAACTGCTGTGAATCAATACAGATTTGTTGGTATGGTTTCTGGTATTAAGGCACAAAAGTTTTTTGTGATTTCCTTTTGCATTAATATTTCATTCTACTTTCCCATCTACACATGCTCCTGGATGTCTCTGTGGCAGATTAATCCTAATTTCCAAGGGCACAATTGAAATTTTAAAACAATTTTTTAGAAAAACCATTAGCAGAGATTGTAAGATATGACAGAACAGGAACTAAATAAAAATATTAAGTGTACATTACTAATTAAAGCAATAAATATGAAGATGAATAGAGAATTTTAGATGTGAACATAAAATTATAGGGGAAAACATCAGCAACTAATAATCACACTTTTTGAAAAATTATCCCATAGCCTGGAAGCAGAGATGCCCTGGAGGGAAGAGTGAAAATTGCTGGCTAATCTCAGTCACTATGTTTTACTAAACTCAGGGCTTAGGCTTTTTAAAGAAAGTATTATTATTTTTGTATGTGTGTGTGTGTGTGTGTGTAGGTCTGGTACAGGAGGAGATTATCCCTCCTTCTCCAGGAAAGCATCTGGCTGATTTCGAATCGTGCAGCTCTGGGATTGCAGTGCAGCTTCTTGCCGCTAGGCCACCAGAGCTCCCTAGGGCTTAGGCTTTGCAGCAAGAGTGTAAAGTACTCTTTTGTGTAAGACAACTGCAGTGATGTGTATGGTGTTGTGTATCACTGAGTCTGGGCCAACCCATAGCTGATATTCCAGTAGGTTTTTAGAGGCAGTTAAATAATCACACAGGAGCAAAGGCTTATTATCTTTTTCCTGTGGAGCACCTGACAGATTCAAACCATGTGCCTTAGGGTTGTCAATGAAATTTCTTACCTACTAGGCCACCAGAGCTCCCTAAAGTGTATTTAAGAACACCTTATTAAAGATACCATCAATACATGGATTCAATAAGATAATTAGGTACATCTGTCTTGCTTCAGATATAATTTTAAAAAAGTAAAGAAAATAGTATTTACCAGGATTTGTCTTCTCAAGTTGATACCATCGATAAAATGCCCTCTTCTTCTGTTCACTCAGATCTGATCCCTGCTGCAATAGCCAGTGAGAGATCCGGCTCTGACTGATACCTACGGAAAAAGATAAGTAACTTTTGGGAAGCAATTAAATGAAAAATTACATTAAAGGAGGTTCTGGTTGTGGGCTACTGGACGCTTTATTCTCTGTCTTACTTGAACTACAACTTGAGTAAACTCCTTAATACAGGGCTTCTTTGTAAAGGCTGATTCCCTTAGCTAGGATATACTTAGAAATCATTTATTACCTATAATATCCAGAGTTGACAGTGCTCCCTAAAATTCACTGCCAAAGAAGACTCATGAATGAGGTAAATTACATAATTCCTATACAATAGTTAGTTATATTTTATATATTTAGTTATATTTGTCAAGTTGGCTTGTGTTCCTTCGACTACCCCCATCTGAAATTTTATGGGAAATGAAAAATAAAACCAAGTTAGCAAGTTAAGGTACTCATTACTGATAATAATTTAGGGATTGAGAATGAAGAGGTCACTGAAAAGTCTGTCTTAGTATGTTGTCTGCTTATTTGCATTTTTTTTGAGCATTTTTAGACATGGTATCATTAATACAGATATTGGCAAACTTTTAGGGTTAATCTGAAATAGACTTTTAGAAATCTAAACAGTCTTCCAGGACAAATACTTAAAAATGAGCAATACATAAACCAGTAGCTTTCTGTTCTTGTCAATTAATGGGAGAATCTTCATGTATGCTAGGAAACACTTTATCATAAATTTAGTGATCACTCAGGTCATTATAAGGATCTTAAATATGAGTTAATTCAACCTAAAACTTGGAAAAGAAAGTAATAATAGGAAAGTAAAAACTTTCTTATTGTCTTATAAACCCTCCAGGCCTTTTGAAAAAGACCATTTAGTTATTACAGAAGGTTAATAATATCCAAATCTTTACAAGAAATTACTTACAGCAACTAGCACCTGTGCTAACACCTGTTTAAAGCCATAATGAACAACAGGAAGAGTAGTTATCATGAAGTAATCACAGCCACTATCATGAAAAGACAAAGGTCTGGTGATAACACTTAACTCACTAAAAGCAAACCCCGAGATTTTCACATATTTTTAAAAAAAGCTGTGAGAAGAAAATTTGAGGAAATGAGGGAGGAAGAGTGTTAAGAGGTAGGTTACACTGGGAAGTAATGTTCTGTGACTGGAATTATCTTTCACTTTCAAAGGGTAAAATCCAAACAGTTTTTTCTAAAAGCTTAATGATTACATTCTCAAGTAATTCACACAGGAGTCTGGGAATAGACTGAAGACTTATGTGTCGCAGGTGCTGGCAGCTCGCACTGTGTGCTTATTCTAAGAGAATGCAAATTGTTCTGGAAAACTAAAAGGGCTATGTTTAGCACTGCTTTCACTAAACACCTAGAGTATTAGATATTACAGTAATTTTAATATTACATTCGAAGGAGAGAGAAGAGCAGAATAATTACCACCAACAAATAAAAATGGATTTTTATGTCAACAAAATATTTGACATGAAATTGTCACAGTGGTACAATACTGGTCAAAACTAGAATTCAAGGGGAACCTGTTTTTTAAAAAACTAAATAAAATTTAAAAAAAACCCCACAACCCACTACACAATACACTGACAGAGCTAATTTCAAAATTACATTTTCCTCACATAGTGGATTCACACAGAGAATAAAAGTCTATAAAATATTAGAACTGTCCAAACCTCTCTCTAGCTCTTCTAGAAAAGGGAGAAGAAAGAAAAAGCCTTAATGGGCATAAAAAAGAGGGTCATTAAATTATGATCTATTTGAATGATAAATACACAGTAGGTAGCCTAGTGGGCATGGAATTGCACTGCTAACTCAAAGGCAGGTGGTTTGAATCCACCAGCTCAGCTGCTCCACAGAAGAATGCTGGACCATGTCCTCCAGTGTGATTTACTGCCTCTGAAAACTGGAGGGTCAGCTCTGAGTTTGCTCTGATTCAAAAGCATTACAATAACAGCAACACTTTCTCTCATGTATTTACAGCCTCTGAAAACCTGTTAAGCAATTAACTATGAGTTGGTTTTGAATCCATGGCAATGAGAGGCAAACTTTTAAAAATAGTATTTTGAAAAGTCATTGATTGTTAACAAGAACATGAATTATCAGGAATGCTCAAACTGCTGATGGAAGGGACGCACTTGTTTTCTAAGCCACAGAACCACTCTGAAAAACTGTTGAGCATTATCTACAGAAAGTGAATTTATGTAAACTCTTTGACTCAGCCAATTTATTTCCTATTTAGCCCACCAGAAATGTGTACATATTCCAACAGAAATATATGCAAAAGATATGTGCAGCAACATATGTACTGGCTTTATTAACAGTCTCAATTCCAAACAATTCCAATATTCACCATTAGTAGAATGCATAAATGTTGATGTAAGGGGTCCATCAGGGATGTATGCAGAACAGATCATCCGAGACGCTGGGCTGTATGAGGAGGAATGTGGCATCAGGATTGGTGGAAGAATTGTCAACAACCTGCGTTATGCAGATGACACAACCATGCTTGCTGAAACTGAGGAGGACCTGAAGCGCTTACTGCAGAAGATCAAGGACTGCAGTCTTCAATATGGACTGAAGCTCAGTATCAAGAAAACAAAGATTCTCACCACTGGGCCAATTGGCAGCATCCGTATGGATGGTGAAGAGATTGAGATAATTAACAGTTTTAGTTTGCTTGGCTCCACAGTCAACACTCTTGGCACCAGCACCCAGGAAATCAGGTGATGAACTGCATTGGGAAAGTCAGCTGTGAGGGACCTCTCAAGAGTACTGAAATGCAACGACATCAGGTTGGAGACTAAGGTGAGCCTGATTCAGGCTATAGTCTTTGCAATTATGTGCTATGCATCGGAGAGTTGAACAGTGACTAGGGATGACAGAAAGAGAATTGATGCCTTTGAGCTGTGGTGCTGGAGAAGAGTGTTGAATGTACCGTGGACTGCTAGGAGAACAAACAGGTTTGTCCTGGAGGGGGTGAAACCAGAATGCTCCCTGGAGTCAAGGACTCCGAAGCTTCGTCTGACATACTTTGGGCATGTTGCAAGAAGGGACTGGTCCTTGGAGAGGGACATCATGTTTGGAAGAGTGGAGGGACGGTGCAGGAGAGGAAGACCCTCGATGAGATGGATCGATTCTGTTAGTGGAGTGGTGGGAATGAATGTGTTTGAGACAGCGAGACTGGCACAGGGTAGAATGGTGTTTAGGGCTCTTGTACACAGGGTCGCTATGAGTCACAAACGACTCGATGGCACATAACAACAACAACAACTATATTATATCTACCTATGTAATAGAAAAGGAACAAACTACTACTACATGCAACCACAAGGAAAAGTCTGACAAACATAATGTTGACATGAGTAAAATAATTTGATTCAGTTTAAATAAAGTTCAAAAACAAGTACAACATCTACATAGACAGAAATGAGAATAGCGATTTCCTGTGGTTTGAGTAGAGGTGGTTAATGACTAGAAGGCAGTAAGGGGGTGACCATAATTGTTCTTTATTTTGATCTGGGTGGTTGGTCATATGGGCATATTTAGAAAAATATACTAAGTTGAGTACTTTTTAAAGCTTATGCTTCATGGTCAATTAAAAAAAAGTTATAAAAATCTTTAAAAGGGGGGGCGGGGGGGA